TCTGTCGTTCCATCTATCTATCTGTCGTTCTATCTATCTACCTATAGTATCTCACGAAAGTGAGTACACCCCTCACATTTCGGCAAACATTTTAGTATATCTACTCAAGGGACAATACTATAGAAATGATTCAAACTTGGATATATGTTAGTTAGAGTAGTCGGTGCGCTGCTTGTAGAGTAGTGTAGATTTACTGTCGTCTGAAAATAACTCCACACACAGCCATTATTGTCAAAATAGCTGGCAACAAAAGTGAGTACATCCTAAGTGATAACAGTACGTTTTTAACCGTGCAAAGCCACATGTCCTGTTCATCATGTTCATGTTTTTGTCAGCTTGACAGGACCATACAAATGTGTGTATCTTGTATTAGAGCTGTTAAAATGTGTGCTTTGAGTACAATTCTCTCATAATAATTCTAATCTCTTTCATGAGATATCTATATATCTATCCATCCATCCATCTTTCTTTTATTCTATCTATCCATCCATCCATCCATCATTCTATCTATCTATTGTTCTATCTATCTATTCATCTATCTATCTGTTGTTCTATCTATCTATCTATCTATCTATCTATCTATCTATCTATCTATCTATCTATCTATCTATCTATCTATCTATCCATCCATCTTTCTTTTATTCTATCTATCCATCTATCTATCTATCTATCTATCTATCTATCTATCTATCTATCTATCTATCTATCTATCTATCTATCTATCTATCTATCTATCTATCTATCTATCTATCTATCTATCTATCTATCTATCTATCTATCTATCTATCTATCACCACACATGAACTCAGGATCACAAACACATGAAAGTGCTCTTAATTGGCACAAATGTTGATTCTAATTCTCAACTGCATAATAAACATGTTTAACGAGATGTGGGGAAAATGAAACACAGAGACCAAGACAAAATACATTTCGAACTCATTTATTAACCGATATTCGTCCAGCAGCAGTAGCGTGAGAGTGTTTACATGTGTGTGTGTGTGAGTGTGTGTGTTAGATCTTGTTGAACGCCGCAACATCCACACTCTGAACCTGTAACACACAAAAACAAACACATCAAGCTTTACATGACACTTGAACTGTGCGCTCACAGCTTCAGTCTGCATGGAAACCAAGCGTCCGCTCGTGAATCCAACACTGAAGTGACTTAAACTGCAGTTCATCGACTGGCCACTAGAGACCGGCTGCAAAACAGAGTCAGTCCCATAGAGCCCCATGTTAAAGTGCCCAACTTTACAGCAGAATAAAACATCTTTACAGTCTGGAGCAAAAAGTGGTTTTGGTCTATATAGCTAATTTTGCCCTTCATGACGACTGTGAGGGGGGTGAATTTTTTTTATAACTCATCCGTTTAAATTATATAAAGCCTTCAATTTGTGCATAATTAAGGGCGTGGCCACTTGAGTGACAGGTGGATTGCCGCTGATGTCACTGCTAGCGTTTGTCTGCTGTGTGTTAGCGTCACATGACCTCAGCTAATCCGCCTCGCTGCACATTTACGTTTATCCGGGAGTGACGCTGCCAAGATGGCGACGGCCGGCTCCGCCCACTTTCGGCCTCAAAAATGCTCTTCAGAAACACTACGGGTGACGTCACACACACTACGCCCATTGTTTTATACAGTCTATGATGGGAACGTTACTCACGTAGTCCTCAAACTTGGTGATCTCCTCCTCTAGGAAGTCTGTTCCCACCTTGTCGTCCTCCACCACACAGTTTATCTGCAGTTTCTTGATGCCGTAACCCACAGGAACCAGTTTGGACGCTCCCCACAGCAGCCCGTCCACTTGCACCGACCGCACACACTCCTCCAGCTTCTTCATGTCCGTCTCATCGTCCCACTGTTTCATTAAATTTAATATTCAACAATATTATTGATCTGCCTGCACTGACACCATTATATATATATATATATTAGGGGTGTAATGGCTCACAAATTCACGGTTCGGTACGATTTCGATACCGCAAAAAGAAAGAAATGGCAGAAAATTCTTTGATTTGTAAAAAAAAAAAAAATTAATAAGTTAGAGTTTTCCTACATCTTGAAACTTGTAGTTTTATAAATGGGGGGTAATCTTTGAAGGATGAACAAATAATGTTTGGTCATCACATTAAAAATAACATTTAAATATGATAATATTTGAGTTTTGAAGTGCTGGAAAAAGATGTATGACGTACTTGAAAGCATTTTACCATTCCTGCCACACTTCCATGGTTACAGTGAGTGTTACTACAGTAAAGCCATGGTGAATGTTGCTGATCTGTGGACTTACGGCCTATAACTAGTTCATCATGGCACAATGTTTCTCCTGGTGTCCACGTCAGCGCTGTTTAACCCGTTAATGACGGAGGAATTTGAATGCTTTCACTAGATCTCGCAAAATAATGAGTAGTGCAGTTTCGTTTCGCTTTCATTACGTTTGCCATTTTGGTCGCACCGAATCGTTCGGTTTGTAATGCGTACCGAACCGAAAGCCTCGTACCGAATGGTCAATACGAATACGTGTATCGCAACACCCCTATATATATATATATATATATAATTTGTTTTTTCATCCAACAAACTAGTATACAATATTGTATACACAATTTACATCTTCATACATAAAAATAAAAACGAAAGACAAAATAAAAAACAAACAAACATGCCAAAGTGTACAAATTGATTAATAAAAAAACTGTATATTTATTAAAGATATGACAAGTCTTTCTTGCTTTACTGACACCATTATATGAGAACTGAACTGAGCTGGACGATGACATCACGGTTTTCTCCAGAGCGGCTATATATACAGTATATAAATGAACTGAATTAATAATTCTTTTACAACGGAAATGAAACATCACTGAACTTCCTTAAGCTGGACTGTGACCCTATTTTCTTCTGGAAACAAATTTTGTTGCATTATTTTCCTGTTGTCTCTGTAAAGCTGCTCTGTATTGTAAAAAGCGCTATTTAAATAAAGCTGACTTGACTGTGAACGCGAGGACGACACCATGAGAGTGAGACAGCGTTTGAGACCAAAAAATAGTTGAAGACAAACTTTGATGTTGGCTTGAGAAGTCTGGCAAGAAAGTGTTAGTGATTTTATGGTCATGCAGTCGATTGGACAAATGCATAGATTGTCATGTGCGTAATTCCCCCCCCGCCCCCCCCCCCCCCCAAACAAGTTAAGCCGAAAAGCTAACTCCGCCCCTCAGCCGATTCTAAAGATTTCATTGGTCATGTCAATCATAGTGCTGATTAAACCAAACACTAATGCCTAACCCTTCACCTAACCTTAACCAAAGAAATCAGCTGAACTGGTTTAAAAAATAAAATAAAATAAAAAATTCACGCCTAACACATAGCAACCACTCAGAAAACCCTAGCAACTACCTAGCAACCTCCCAGAATACCCTAGCAACTACATTACAGGCGTGATTTCCCCCCCAAACCAGTGGAAATTCCGCCCTGCAGCTGGTTTCATTGGTTAAGGTTAGGTTGGAGGGTGGGGTTAGGGATTAGTGTTACTAGGGTGTTTTACGTGGTTGCTAAGAGGTTGCTATAGTGTTCAGAGTAGTTGCTAGGATGTTGCAAGATTCTGTTCTGTGTGGTTGTTAGGGTGTTGCTATAGGGTTCTAAATAACTCGTGGGTTGTTCTGGATGGTTGCTAGGCAGTTGCTAGGGTGTTCTGGGTGGTTGTTAGGGATTGCTAGAGAGCTCTAGATAACTGCTGGGTTGTTCTGGATGGTTGCTAGGCAGTTGCTAGGTTGCACTGTGTGGTTGTTAGGGTGTTGCTAGAGGGTTCTAAATAACTCCTGGGTTGTTCTGGATGGTTGCTAGGCAGTTGCTAGGTTGCATTGTGTGGTTGTTAGGGCGTTGCTAGAGGGTTCTGGATAATAACTGGGTTGTTCTGGGTGGCTACTAGGTAGTTGTTGGGGTGTTCTGGAAGGTTGCTGGATTAGTTGCTATTAGTATTGTTAACAAATAAAATATTAAATTATTTTCAGTAATTGAAAGCTGAAATAAAATATAAATATTAGATGAAAAACTGAAAGTTAAATGAAAATGATAAGTATTGCCTTGGCAACAAACTGAAATAATTTCAAACTTGAAGTACTAATTTTGCTAAAAACGAAAATAAAACAAAAATAAAAATAAATTAAAACTACTTAGAAATATTTTGAACCCCCCTGACCCCCCCAATAATGACTAAAACAAACCTGAAAATAAAAAAATATATAAACGAATTCAAGATTTGAATAAATACTATAATACTCTACATTAAATAATACTGAAATAACACTGGTTGCTATTGTGTTCGTGGTGGTAGTTAGGGCGTTGCTATGCATTTTCGAGGTTGTTTCTCTGTGGTTGCTATATAAGATATTCAGTATTCTGTCAAGAACATGTTCAGGTCATGCATCACTATTTTTTTTTTCTTTTTTAAATTTTGTATATAGAACTAAAAGTCAATAATATCATGATGCCATTACAGGAATGATGCCACTATAAGAATAGGAATGATACTATTCCTGCAATGTGTTGTTTGGATCCTATTATACCATGGTCTGGGTGAATACCATAGACTGTAAAAAATACTCGATTCTGATTGGCTGCAGGGTGTCCATTAAAAAGTGCTAGAGGACACCTAGTAAAGGAGTTCTGGTGAAACTGACTGTTTACTGTTCGAAATTAATAAATAAATGCGCTGGCTACATCAGCTGTGAGTAACCATAGCAACAGGCAGACAAAGTATCCGTTAACAATTTATTGTATCAAAACAAACCTCTAGTTAGCCGTTATACTATGCCTACCTGTGTGTTTTAATAGGCTTTATGCCGAGCGTCACGTGACCAAACCGGAAAACGGGTCTCATTGCATCCGCTTGTCAGAGAAAGTGTTAACGGCCGTAAGATCTAACTACGATATCTATGGATTTTTAAGGTAATCAGCTAACCTACTAAGTTCATTTTGTTATTGGTGTTTTATTCTATTTAAATATCTAAACGTTAGTGTGAAGACTTTTAAATATCAATCTGCACATGCGAGGGACATTGGTTGTGCTCATTTTTGCTTGCTCCTTTTAAGTTATCTTGAGTAAAACCGCAAAAAATTTCATGAAGCACATACAAAAGACCTGAAGCGGAAGCGATGTGACCTGTTTTCCGGCTTGGTCACGTGACGCTTGGCATAAAGCCTATTATAGGTTAAAAAAAAACGAAAGTGTAACGCCCATGGCTAGACAAGCCTAACTTACATGAAAAAAAATACATTAACTTTCTGGCTCGTGAGTTAGCTAAACTGAAGGGAGCTGAGCGGACTATAAATATCTCCGGTTGCTAAATAAACCGTCAGGCGTAACCAGGGAAACCAAGTTATTGTTTGTAAAAAACTTTAGATTTTGATTGTAAAACTAATTAAAATATAAACTAATGTTTAAAAAATGTGTTATTTGGCAAGTGACCATGGTGTAAGCGGGTTAATGCCCTTCGAGGTGTCCATTGTCGGGTATTAATGGACTTTGGCGGAGGCAACCGTCCTTTCACGCCTCGCCGTCGTCATTAATACCTGACAATGGACACCTCGAAGGGCATTAAGCCTTACTCGCCGTCCCCAAACCAGGACATTACCCAAGGCTCCAGAAAACAGACTCTAATATCACTTACAGGTTTGACGTCTAACAGGATGGATGACTTTGCGATGAGGACGGGTTTTTTGGCCTTTTTCGCGGCGTATTCTTGCAGCCGCTGCTCTTTCAGTCTTTCGGCCTCCTCGTCCACCTCTTCATCGCTGCCGAACAGGTCAATGTCATCCTCCTCTTCATCCTCCTCTTCTTTCAGCGGAGCAGACGGGGCTTTCTGGGGACCGGTCCCGTTAACGGTCGGAGCCGATGAACGCTTCTCCAGCGCAGACACTCGACTCTCCATCTTCCCGAGAGCAGAGCGCAGATCCTCCACCACTGACACACACAGAACGACAACAATCAGATCTGGGAGAGTTCACTCAAACATGTCAACTCTGTCAGTAATGACTCTCCCTCGTGTTGTTCAACCCCGTCAGACTTTCCTTCATCTTCGGGACACAAATGAAGATATTTGTGATTAAACCTGAGAGCTGTCTCACTCCTCCATAGGCTTCTATTGTAATTGAAACTTGCCGGAACAGAAAGTTATTAAAGACATCGTTAAAATAGTCCGAGTGACGACAGCGGCTCAACCTTAAGATTATCAAGCGGCGAGAATACTTTCTGTGCGCAAAAAACACACAAAAATAACGACTTTATTCAACTCTTCATCTTCTTCTCTGTGGGCCTCGAGTGAGTTCTCGTAGTGTAACAGCGCAGCGCTTCTGGTGTACGTCACACGCAGGCTCACTATTGGCCGACGCTGGTCATGTGTGTGACGCAGGGGCGTAGGAGCAATTTTGAACCTGGGGGGGACAGTAAATGCTAGGGGGGGGGGAATATCCCGAATTTTTGTATATACTTTTTTTATATATAAGGCACTTAAATGATTATTTCTAAAGACTTATGGGAACAGACTGTATTACTTAGTTTGGTTCTAAGCAGTGATTAAATTGTGATTTATTATGTGGGCTCTCCCTAGGGGGGTCCGGGGGTATGCTCCCCCGGGAATTTTTTTTGAAAAATAAACCATTAAATGGCACTTTCTGGAGAGTTTTGTGCAAAGAAATTGAGAAAATGAGTCTTACATGATATGTGAAAAACTGCAAGGTTAAGAGCATATACTTTGCATTGTTGTAGTATCAACAGGTATTAGGACATTTAGCATTTACATTACTGTTAATCAGTCATGTTGATTAACTAAAAATTAAAAACTCAAATAAATGGTTGATTTAATTTCCATTAACCACTTAGCTTACCCCCCAAGGATTGAAAAATAAAATCAATCTATCCTAGTGGAAAGGTTCCTTGGTAGCTAAGGTCTAGCAAGTCTTATATTTCTGTAATTCACACAGATCAAAAACAAATATGCTGCCTGAATAGATTGCTAGTTTGTTTTGAGTAGCCAGCTAGCAGTTCTCTTGGCAGTTTGCTGATAATCCGGTGTCTGAAGTAAAATGCTCAAAACATCTCCTGAGAAAAATCACATGGCCAACCTAGTCTTGGTCATTTAATTTAGATTTAGTCTTATTTTCCTTACCTTGTCATTCAAGGCCAGGGCACTTTATGTACATTTCTGGAACTTTTGCACGCTTCCACATCCCGCGCAACTAGGATCTCCCAGGAACACTCATTATATATCGCTGCGTACATTTATCCGTGTCACCTAGATGCGCATGCGCGAGCGGTGCGCGATCATGGTCGACTGACAACGAGATTAGCAGCTGAAGAATTCGGCCGTTTTTAAAAATTGAATTATGTATTTAAAAGTTGCCGAATGGATTCATTTGGAGACTCCGAAATCGGCAGAGATAGGCAGGCAATGCAAAACAAAATCTTACATTGGGAAATAGTGGGGGGGACAAAACTTCGATTTTGAAATGTGGGGGGGACACGTATAATGGCTCCTACGCCCCTGGTGTGACGTACAGAAGCGCTGCGCTGTTACACTATGAGAACTCACTCGAGGCCCACAGAGAAGAAGATGAAGAGTTGAATAAAGTTGTTTTTTGCGCACAGAAAGTATTCTCGTCGTGAGCCTACGTTCTGACGGAAAAAGCTAATGCAAAAAATTTATAAATATGATATTTTATAAATAATAGTATAATAGCACTAGATGCTGAACTGAAATAAAATGAAAACTAAAAAGTAATTTTTAAAAAAGAACAAAAACTAAGAAAATGACAAGCACAGTAAAAAAAAAAAAAAGTAACTAAAATTAAAATATAAAACATATAAACATATTTTATGTTTTAAAATATAAAAACATTAAGGTCAAGGTTTGACCTTATAAGCACATTTATAAAGCACATTTACAAGCAATCACTACTGCCCCAAAGTGCTGTACAAGTATAAGAATAACAAAATAAAACACAATAAATAATCAAAAACATTTAGAAACAACGGTTTTAAAAATATATATTTTTTAAAACACCAATTAATAAAATGTCACAGCTCAGCTGATATTAAACGCCAATGCAAAAAGGTGAGTCTTTAACAATGATTTAAAACACTCGACAGAGGAAGCTGCTCTGATTCTGAGAGGAAGTGAGTTCAAGACAGTTCCAGTTCATTTTATTAAAATGAAAGCCAATGCAAAAATGTATATAAACTAAATAATACTAAAATAACTGCATCCAAACTGAAATAAAATTAAACCAAAATAGTCATATTTACAAAAAAAGAACAAAAACATTTTTACAAGGATATAGTAAAAATGAAACTAATTTATTGGTTTACAAATATTGAATTTGTTATTGTTCTGTTGAAATCGAAATTTACTGATTTGTTAATTTGAGATTACTGAATGCTTGTCCATTCATCCAAAACATTTACAAAAATGGCACCATGAGGGAACCAGAACCAGAATTAGGATTGTTAAATTCCATCCAAAATGCAAAGCTATGACAATCTCTATAACAACACGTGAACACACAAACCTGTGTGTAGACTCTGGTTCTCCAGTTCCAGGTTCTTCATGCGTGCTGCGAGCTCCCCGTAATCAGCAGCGCTGCCTCCGCCACTCTACACACACACACACACAGTTCCCATCAGCCCCTGCTCTGATACACCACTGTTCAGTGAGGTCTAGATACTCAATTACACAAACACTACTAACAGAACACACAACTACAGTCAACATGTTTCACACAAAAACACATTAATTTTGCAACATTTTGTCAGAACTTGGAAACTTCAATTTGATTATAAGAATCCAAACCCCTTTGATTTTGTTAATCATTTGCATGGTCACGGTTCTCTGATGTCAGTTAATGGTCAACATGATATGCAATTAAATAAATACAAATATTTAATCTTTTTTTAGTGTTTTATTTTTATTGTTTTAATTATTTTAATTATTTATTTTAATTTTACACATTTGCTTTTCATTAACTCAGACTCTGAACTCTGTATTTGTGTGTATGATTACAAAAATATTTTTTTCTTGTGCTCATTTAATAATTATTTTAATTTAATCCTACTTCTTGCATGAAACATTTTTTAATTCTGTTTGGTTAAAATGATGGTTCTCACTGAGAAAAATAAATAAAATAAAACAATAACAAATACACACTGTCTTATAGTTAATTTCAGAGCAAATACACACATACAGTACAGCCTGGAATAACATACAAACCAGGGTTATTATAGTCTAATAAAAGCATCTCAACGCGATACTAATACAAACCTCACAACAAAGATGCAAATGTACAAGTGTTTGCTCTCAGGAAAACCAGACCTTCCACAGCAAAAAACACACACGAAACATAACAATAAATCCACACAGGAATGCATGCATAACAGTCGTCTGAAACTTCCTAAAACAACATGCATCGCATGCACACGCTTCGACTTTGACGTGAGCTGCTTTGGTGTGTGTTTCTGGCCGACGGCTTACACACACACACACACACACACACACACACACACACACACACACACACACACACACACACACACACACACACACACACACACACACACACACACACACACACACACACACACACACACACACACACACACACACACACACACACACACACACACACACACACACTTACAGGAGAGGAGCGGTGGGAGGGGTTTGATATTTTAGGGGCGGAGCCTCTACTCGGCTGCAAGGTTGTCTTCAGCTACAGGAGAGATCATTTATAAGGAAAGTGCAGATCAAGGAAGTCAACAGAGGATTTAAAGCCCCCCTGTGGTGAAAATCCAGCGTTTAATGTTGTTGTGGTGTTTTTAATACGCTTTAAGACAAACCATGTGTAAGTTCATAAGTCGACAGCATTGCTGAGTATTTTCTCCTTAAAACTGCAGTGAACCAAAGACAGTCTCAAAAACACGGTTTGAAATCGCTGGTGTTTCTGACGTCACAAACGACCTTGTAACCAATCAGATCAACGTGTGATCGTCAACCAGTGGATCTCTGAGCTGAGTGAGTGAGTGGAGGCGGGGCTCATTTGCATATTCATAGAACCGCGCATACTAAATGAGGCAATGGTGTCGAGTTACATTCAAGATATTTTTAGGCATGATGATATTTTTTCAATTTAAATATGTCATTTTGGTGATCAAAGATGAGTTTTAAGGGATCAAATTATTGACTACAGGGGGACTTTAAGAGAGAAGATATGGGGCTTCGTTCTCAAACCTAGTGAGCCGCCTACATAGACAGCATTTCGGATACATGCTCATGACCAAAGGATAATCATAATATAAAATATAATCAGACAGACAGCAAGACAGCTCACTAGTGTTTAGGAACAGAATAGAAATGCACAATTAATTGAGATAAAACTGCTTATGAACTGGCTGTGAAAGTGTCATTTGTTTTATTATACGGAAGAAACAAACACTTACGACACTCAAATCTGAACAGGCAGAACAGCGCTGAAACGGTCTTTCGTGACATTTGAACTCTCCACTGTAATAATAATAACCTCATAATGCATAATACAGCGCAGCCAGTGACTGACGGGATTGAAAGAGTTCATTCTCATGAATAATGCAGAGAAAAGCTCAGAAAAGTATGACACAGACGCGTACTCCCCACACTCACAAACCTCACCTTTCATGACGTTGGTTCAACTTCGCTTTTTAAACTGGAAGAATAAACTGCTTCAAAAAAAGGAAAAGTAACCACTTTTCGCTTAATAATAAAAAACACATTATGAGTGCTATTGTTGTTTTCATTGATGTGAAACCTGTACACGTTAAGATCTCAAAAAATGTGTTTTTAGGGTTTCATGACCCTTTTTTCATGAATAAATGAATGAGGCATTTGTTCCAAAAGAAAAGCTCAATGGTGTGCGTGTGTATTATATATATATATATATATATATATATAGTGCTGCTTGAAAGTTTGTGAACCTCTTGTGAACCTATTTTTTGTCTTGTGGACTACATGTAAATATCTTTCATGTAAAATATGTTATTCAGGACAGTAGCTACTAAATAAAACAATAACTTGCATTTTGTATGATCCCTATTATTTTGTTTAAATTCTGCAAGGGGTTTGCGAACTTTCAAGCAGCACTGTATATATATATTAGGGGTGTAACGATACACGTATTCGTATTGGCTTTCGGTTCGGTTTTCGGTACGCTTTTTTGAACCGAACGGTTCGTTGGACCATTTTTCCTGCCGACCAAAATTTCGTTATTTCAAATGTAGGCACGTCACGCGTGGCAAGCGCGCTCATAATGTAAGAGACGCTGGCGTGACCACAACATTGCCCAACATCAAATGGCAAATGTAAGCGGAACGAAACCACTCGTTATTGTGTGGTTGAAGGACCGTTTATCAGTTTGGACCAATGCAGCGCGAGCCGATCTTCATCATCAGCACTGTTACTACACAGCCAAATCCAGTAAAGAAAGCATTTGAGTTCGCCACTAAAGTAATAACATCGCTGCCAGATCTAGTGAGAAACATTCGCATTTCTCTGTTATTAACGGATCAAACAGCGCTGACGTGGAAACCAGGAAGAAACATTGTGCCATGAATGAACTATCTAGTGTCCACAGATCAGCAACATTCACCATGGATTTACTGTAGTAACACTACTAACTGTAACCATGGGAGTGTGGCAGGAATAGTCGGCTATAATGCTTTCAAGTAACATCACGTCGGTTTTATTTTGAGATTATGAATACAGTTCCTGCCCTCAAATGTTAATCTGAACTAAAATAAACCTTTGTTTATAACTACTACAATATTACATTTCATTTTGTCCAAGGAGCTGTTTTGTTTTATAAGCTCCTAAGAAAAGTCAAGTATAGCTCCATCATTGCTCAAAGTTAAAAAATATCATACTTTATGATGTTAGTTTTAATAAAAATATAATTAAAAAAAATTAAATCAAGGAAATTTCTCTGGCATTTCTTTCTTTTTGTTGTATCGGAAACATACCGAATCGTACCGAACCGAACCGTGACACAAGTGTATCGTATCGAACCGTGAATTTTGTGAACCGTTACACCCCTAATATATATATTATGTATTTGTATAATTAATTGCAATCACAATTATTATCAGGAGAGCTATATATTTATAATTTCCTGATAAAAATTGTGATATATCTTGCAATTTGATTCCCCCCTCCCAAATTGTGCAGCCCTAGAAAAGAGCTTGTTCGTACCCGTCTAAGACGAGTAATCAGGTTTTTCGTTCAACTCACCCCAGCGAGAGATTTCTGGATGTTTTCTCGTGCTCGAGCGATGTCCTGAAGAATGCTGTTGGCTCCGGTGTCCTGAGACGAGAGAGAGAAACCTCAGTGTGTGCTGGGATAGAGCAAGTGTTTCTGTAGCTTAAAGGGTTAGTTCACCCAAAAATGAAAATGATGTCATTAATGACTCTCCCTCATGTCGTCACAAGCCTGTAAGACCTCCGTCAGAGACAATTTATATAGAGACATGCCGCTTCCTCAATCCTCAATACAACTATATAGGGAAAACCTGTAAGGCCAAAGATGGCGGTTGTATGCACATGCCCCGCCCCTCCCGCTGGAAAGCCAATAGTCTGCTTTTAACAGTCAAGCCGAGAAACATGTAAGCCTATCGTCTGGCTCCACCGACGCATGCGCACAGTTGAGGTTTGCGACAGCGGAGACGAGAACCCTTGCGCATGCGTAGTAAACGTATAACCTGTGGGGAAAAAGACCTTTTAAACCTTATTTTGGGGCAAAGTCATCAAACTTTTTCAGCGATTTTTATCATATTTTACTGCTGTTTCTATACCAGCAGTTTTTATGTCCCGGTGACCAGTGAAAGTGCAGTTCTGACTCTCTGCCCATTCATTTAGATAGGAGCCTGGTCTTGTTAGTCCGAAATAGCTGCCCGGAGGCGTTGCCAAGATGGCGGCCGAGTGGCATGACTTGCCTAAAAGGACTTTGCCTCCGTTCATCTTCAGAACACAGTTTAAGATATTTTAGATTTAGTCCGGGTGCTTTCTGTCCCTCCATTGGAAATGTATGTACGGTATCCTGTCCTTGTCCAGAAAGGAGATAAAGACATCATCAAAGTAGTCCATGTGACATCAGTGGGTTAGTTAGAGTGTGTTGAAGCATCGAAAATACATTTTGGTCCAAAAATAACAAAACCTACGACTTTATTCAGCATTGTATTGGCTTCCGGTTTTGTTGTGGATCCGTGTTCAGTGACACTGCTGACGTGTGTCTGGTGCGAAAGAGCATCGTTCACAGTCTGAGGGCGACGCACGCTGGAAACAAAACAATAATTTTTTTCCCCAGCCATATTTATTTAAACCCGAATACACGGACGCACCAGACACACGTCAGCAGCGTCTTACGTCAGCAGCGGCACTGAACGCGGATCCACAACAGAACCGGAAGAGAATATAATGCTGAATAAAGTCGTAGTTTTTGTTATTTTTGGACCAAAATTTATTTTCGATGCTTCAAAACATACTCAACAAGCGTCATTAATGACATAATTTTCATTTTTGGGTGAACTAACCCTTTAAACAGTGAAGCACAGTGCTAGCAACAGTAAGGTCATGGGTCTGCCAAATGCATAAAATTAATTAAACGTACATTTGGAATGGACTTATTCCCTACTATTTTTCCAAAATATCATGTGTAATAGTAGTATAAGCACACGTCCTGTGCATTCTGATGCAATAGTACAAGTTGATCATGTTAATTGTGACCCTGGACCACAAAACCAGTCATACGGGTCAATTTTTTGAAATTGAGATTTATATATTATCTGAAAGTGGAATAAATAAGCTTCCCATTGATGTGTGGTTTGTTAGGATAGGACAATCTTTGGCTGAGTACAACTATTTGAAAATCTGGAAACTGAGGGTGCAAAAAAATCCAAACATTGAGAAAATCGCCTTTATGTTCGCGATTGTGCTGGATCCACTCATAAAAATATATTTTTTTATATATTCATGGTAGGAAATTTACAAAATATCTTCATGGAACATGATCTTTACTGAATATCCCAATGATTTTTGGCATAAAAGAAAAATAGATAATTTTGACCCATCTAATGTATACCCGTGCGACATCATGTGACTGGGTTTGTGATCCAGGGTCACATATATGAGACGTCTCTGGAGTTTATAACCTGTTTGTTTTGTGTAGGTCCGTTCATCTGCTCGTAAAACCGTCGTTCTGCTTCATCGTAACGCGGCTTATCGAACCAGATCCTCTCCTGCGCCAAACAGTCCGCTGCAGTCATCCTGCACAAACACACACAACCTGTAACAACCTCACTAAACACCACATGAGATGAACATTTGATTTTCTATATATTTGGCCTTGATGAAAATGAAAGGATGTTTGAGATCAACTGTGGTACACACAGCAGGACTATATATTTCAATCAGATGATATTATTTTTTACAATCAACGCAACAAGCTCATCCACCCCAAAAAATTAACAAGAATTATGAACATAATAAGAAATTATTAAATTATAAAGCGATTTATTAAATAAATCCAAATGCAATAGTTTAACTAGATGTCCTGAAATAACTAAAGCTGAAATAAAACGTAATAAAAATGAAACCACAAACTTACTAAAAGAATAAAATGAAAATGGAAAATAAAAACAAACCCCAAAACTAGTATATGGACATAATACTAATAATATTAAATATTAATGCAATGCAACCATGCAAAAATGACATCAACAGAACAAATGAAAGAAAACTAAATGAATACAAAACTGAACTCAGACAAATGAATCTTTCAAGCCAACACAACGGACAAAACGCAACAAGACAAGAATGAATGTGTAAAGAGATAAAAAAAAAAAAAAAAGGAACAAAATGCAATGAAGATGATGGACAAAAGAAGTAGAAAAGGTTGTAAACATATTGCATGTAAATAAAATGGGTGAAATTGATGTTACCTGAGAGTAAAACATCGCTTTAAATAGATAGTTCACCAAAAAACGGTAAATTTTATCATCATTGATTTACTGCATGTCGTTCCAAACCCGTATTACTTACTTTCCTCCATGGAAACCGAAAGAAGTTCAAGACGTTCAAGAAACGAAAGTAATGCAGGTTTGGAGCGACATGAGGGAGTGAACTAACTCAGATGTGCGGGGAAAGTGTGTGCAATCTTTCTAGGGTATAGAATCATACTTCTTCTTCCGGCTAGAACGGTTTACAGATGTTTTGAGGGATTTCGCCGCCGCTCCTTCGTAGAAACGAGTCTCCGCCTCCACATAGCGACCACGATCAAGCCACACCCCCTCGCTGTCGGGATGTAAGAAATAACACATCGCTGCTCCTTGATTGGTTCTTACATCATCAGAATCCCGGCGATCGCAAACCACAGGCTTTTTTTGTGTAGCGACGTCGTTATTCCGCCGTTTGGAGCTCGATTCATCTCTACTGGTTTTCGGTGTCGAGTTGCGGCGGTACAGGTTCTGATAGAAAGACGCCTCGGCTCTATCGAAAAGAGGTTTCTGTAGCCACACCCCCATTGGGGGTGGAGTCAGGCAAGGAAGGCCGTTGATTGGCTTTGAAGCAGGTGTGGGTGGAGTCGGGGTTTGTGATTGGTAGCCCTCGTCGCTGGACGTTTGGCTGTTGGGTTGCAGTTGGAGAGATCTTGGTTGATTGGGAAACCGGCCCACAAACTTGCTCTCGGCTTGGTCAAAGTTGGGTTTGTTGACCCACACGTCTTGAACGACATGATGACAAGCCTCTTGGCCTCGATGGCGACAGGTTTCCGGCTTTCGTGACGAATCGGTAAAGCTCGCAGGAGAAGTCGTGCCATTTTGCTCCTGCAAGAGTCGTACGTAGTAAAGGCTCTCCGCTCTCTCGTACGCGCCGCGGTCGAACCAGACCGACGAACTCTCCGATCTCAAACCCTCGAGAGCCGCGCTGGACAACCGTCCCTCGGCACCGTTCGCCTGGCGTTCGGAAGATCCCGACTGATTCAAAGAAGAATTTCGGCGGCTTCTGTTGCGCATTTTCTTGTGTCCAGAAATATAGAGGAGGAGGAGGATTGATAAATAAATGAAAGAGAGGAAAAGGAGAGTGACAGGGAACTGGAGAATTAATTACACAGCAATAGGTTAACGTTAAACATGAAGTGTGTAAATTGTGCGAATCTGTTTTTAGGCCTTGTTTACACCTGGTGTTAAGATGCGTTTTGGTTGATCGGATCACAAGTGTACGAGGAAGACACATCTCCGTTTACACCTGGCGTTTTAATCCGTTTCTTTTGTCCACTTTCAACCACCTCTGTCCTGATTTCTTCAAGAGAAGGGTCTATATTTTCAGATCTTTCAAACTAATGGACACAATAAGCTCATGCAATTTACATACGACCACGACAGGAGACGACAGAAAAACATACGGAGAGCAGAAGCTTTCATTTCTGTTCTGACAGCTGAAAGATCATGCTGAACGCTGTGAGTGTGTGTTAGACATCAGGAATGATGAGAGAACATTGTGTTTGGTACGTTTTTCATCTTCAAACCAAACTTGGGTCTTCAGCCGACAAAGTTTAAAGGACAACTCCGGCGCAAAATGAACCTTTGGTGTAATAACACATTGGTACCGAGTCGACCGTTCTCTCCGATGTGTTTTCATGATAATCGAATGTAAGGAGTTTTATCTCTAAACACTGTTTAGCTTATAACGCTAGTATATAGGGCATAGAGTAAGTAAAAATAAGAATCGCTAGTTAATACCACTAACAAGGCTCAAAATAGCCCCACACGAACACAGTAACATAATGAGGGTTCCTACCTGCAAACCGAAGCATTGAGAACCTTCTAAGTGTACATATGAAGATACTTTATAAAGACAGTGCGCTTCGTGTATACAGGCAGGAGCCATCTTGGAAAACAGTCTCGACCAGTCGAACCACGAACGCCGTGCTAAGTGAGCTGAACTGTGACTTGGAATCTCATATGAATGTATGGGATCCCTTCTTCCCTTGTAGTTAGTCACCCATATATTTTAATAAACAGATATAATTCATGCATTTCCATGTAATTAGATTTCACAAACATAATTCCGATCGACCAGCTCACGTAGCATGGCGTTCCTGGTTCGACTGGTCGAGACTGTTTTCCAAGATGGCTCCTGCCTGTATACGCGAAGTGGACTGTCTTTATAAAGTATCTTCTTTTTAAACTGCCTGTACAAGTAGAAAGTTCTCAATGCTTCGGTTTGCATGTCGGGACCCTCATTATGCTACCGTGTTAGTGTGAGGCTATTTTGAGCCTTGTTAGTGGTATTAACTAGCGATTTCTTTTTACCTATTCGATGCCCTATATATTAGCGTTTCAGTTTTAGAGATGAAACTCTTTACATTCGATTATCATGAAAACAAATCCCAGAGAACGGTCGACTCGGTACCAATGTGTTATTACACCATAGGTTCATTTTGCGTCGGAGTTGTCCTTTAAATCCCGTCTGGCTAGCGCTCTTCCCATAATGTTTTAGTCAGTAGGCGGAGAGTAGACGTCTTTTGTGGCTTGTGCGTTTTCGACTACCTCTGGAAGTGGCCGACAAGCTTAAAACGTTTCAGACCCCATTTACAACTGCATTTAAAATTGTCAATGTCCACTTGTGATTTGCATTTTAATACCTGCGTAAACAGGGCCTTAGTTTGAGAGCAAATTAGCAAATATAACCTATGTTTCTTTAGGGTCATGCAACAAAAGTAGTAGTACAAATCCAATGGTTACTATTACTAGCACACACACAACAAAAAAATTAATTGAAAATAAAAAAACCAAGTGTTTGAGAAACCGGTTTGGATTGGATGCATATATATATATTTTTACTATTTGATTTGGTGCAGCAAAAATTACACACTTCAGTTTTAAAGACAGAACACACACACACACACACACACAATTATGGTTGCATTAGATTTAAACACTGAGCTTTACAATGAAATCAAGCTGAAAATGAATAAAAAAGAAGGAAACTCAAAGAAAGGACAATAATATTTAAAATGGTCAAAACACCCACTCAAATCTATCATGGGACAAATAATATGAGCCAAATCCCACATCCAGCATGCTGATGGGAGACAGTTTGTCCAAACTCACCACCTTCAGCAAACAGGAAAAGCGACCAAACAAAACAGTATGTAGCTGAACTCGTTCTTCTCATCCAGACAGAGGCAAGCAATAAACCACAATGTGCAAATAAGAAAAGGATCTCACAAGAGGAATCCTACATGCCCTTACAAAGAAGCTCTGTGGTGAAAACATGGTACTGTGATGGAATCAGATATATTATGTACAATGGTACTGAATGATTGATTACCATAGTATATGTCCAAAAATATGGTATTATCATGATACAGTCAGTGAATGAGAGTATTTTTCTTGTACTACTCGCTGTTTGGATTTAAATAGGCAAATGGGTCTCATTCAGGAAACACGAGCAGAACGAATTTTTGTGTAAATTGTGTAAAGTGGTTCTGGCGTAGATTTTCGGATTCATTAAAATGTTCGTATTTTCCAAATGTTAGTTGGTACGAAAGAAATCTACACCTGCTCCCAGCCACGCGCAAATAGCGAGTTTAACATCCGAACGTTTTGCTCATTAATGACTAAGGCTGCATTTTAATTCGCCTTAATCGGGTACATATTTACACAGCATTTTGAACAAATATTATATATAGTAATTACATACGGTTTTTCTTTTTACTTCTGGGACTGTTTGATTAACAGATGAAACTCCATTAACTGCATCTGTAATATGCTGGCAAGCTTGCTTTTCTTTAGGACCTGATACGCCACTATGTAGCCTACGCTTGAACATAAAATGTGGTGTTTTGAATGAACTTCTGATAATAAAACTTCGATTTCTGCATCTGAGAAATTTTTCTTTTTCATTTGCTTTTGAGAAGACATGTTGAAATCCTTCGTTTGGTGTCATAATATGATGCCCATATATAGTTGTCAGTCGGATTTAATGGGCGGGATTTATGGTAATTGAGAATAAACGTGCACGCGCGTCCCATTTATGACTGAGTGGAATTCATTAACACACACACACATTTCACTATCACATCTGACGTTTACGAAGTATTTGTGAATCAGGAGATGAGTTTTCGGGAAAGTCTCTTTACGCGCAAATGACTCTCATATTTACTCGTATATTTACGAATGTTTCATGAATGAGACCAAATGATTGGATAATTATGTCTATGATTATTATGTTTCTATCATGTTATATGTTTGGCAACAGTTCTTCTAACCCTAAATGATGGAGTGCATAGCTTTTCATTTCTTAAACAACCATGTAGGAAGTCATATTTCAGGATGATAATGTCAAGATTCATCAGGCTCAGATTGAGAAAGAATAGTTGGGAGGGAGAATGAAGAATCAACTTGACTCTTGCATTATCAATAGAAGATCTTAACCAAAAATTGATGCACCTCATAACATCACAACATGTATTTCCATCAAGAGGTGCATCACTTTTTGGTCAAGATCTTGAATTGACAATCCAAGAGTCCAGCGCTCTGTAAAGTCTCCTCCAGCACATCCCAAAGACTTTCAATGACTTTAAGGTCTGGACTCAGAGGTGAAAATGATTCCTCAAAGTCATATTTACATGAACTATACCTTTAAGATAAATGTTAAAGTGTACCCCCTAAAAGCACAAGTGGCCCCTGTCCGGATACTGTGGTCTAGAACCGCCACTGGTCATTACTGCCTGTTTTAAATAAAGTTTAGGCCCTGGATTAGCCTAGAAATCTAGATGCAAATTTTATTTTGCTGCCAGTTACATCTAGCAACTCTCCATTGGCTTGCGAGCTGGAAAAACCAAACTCTAGTCAGGCCAATCACATCGTGTATAGAGTCGGTGGGCGGGCTTAACATAATGACGGCAGAATTTGGTTCCCCGTGAATTCCCTGCTACTTGAAACCAAAGAAGATGGCTGCCAAACAAAGAACGGCACTGAAGTCATTCTTAAAAAAGGAAGATGTGTTCGGACTACGTCACCTTCTTCGTTGCTCTGGTTGGTTGTAGCGCTATCCTATTACATGCAGAGGGAATTTGAAAGACAACCGTTTATCCCTTCGGATTGAGCCCTGCCAATGGTGTGTTCCCAAACCCAACATCTTGATGTGGGTCAGGCTAGCCCTGGATTCTAGTATCGAAATAATAAGTACTAGTATAATTAAAATAGATACTAGTATCCCAGCAAGCAACAGCTGTCATTTCACCGTCTAGGTTAACTATAGACCCAATATAGTCCGGCTATGAGTAACCCACTTCTAGCCAAAATAACCTTGAATTTGGTTACATGTCGTTTTTGCCAAAATAACTTGCGAGATGTATGATATTCCATCATGTAAGCAAAGTAAACAGCTATTACAAGGTGTTTGGTTTCATTTCTTTGTTATCTAATTAATGACTAGTCTATTCTTGGGCTATGGTTTTTAGACATCTATTAAATTTTCACTGACAGCCCAAATTTTGCCTTGTTTTAGCCTAGACGTCTGTGCTGTGTTTGGACGGCTATTAGACGTCTTTTAAACGCAAAATTGCTTGCTGGGATGTTTTAAGGATTCAATGTTAAAACGGCTTGCTATAATTTTACATTAGAGGACAGTTTTATTTTATGGTGACCGTGACTGTCAAGATCTGAACCTGATATTAGAAGAAATAGACTAATGTGTATCTTCTCATTAAAGCCTAATCACTCATTTCGTTGGTTCAAAAAGAAAAGGGTGATATCAACAGATCATAAAATCAATAAATCTGTAGAAATCTCTGGTTTACCAAGAGATCATCAGATTAAACATGAGATGCGTCATTATTCAAGATGATCTGTCTGGACTTCCTGCTCATTGAGGTGTCAGGCCCATGAAAACCAAAACACTAGATATTTATAGAAGATTAAACGGATTATCATTATGACAGTGACTGAAACATCAGCACGAGCTTTCTATCAGGTAACAATCATATTGATTATTCTTACATGAATAAATAAACGGATGAATGACGTCTAACCGGTTTTTTGAACACCCCGTACATTTACAGGACAGCATCATTCAATCGTTTAAACAAAGAAACGCAATAAAAGAACATAAACACCATAATTTTTCAAACATATACTCACTTTAAACGCTTTAGGTTAGTGTTGTATGAATAAATCGCTGCTGCTCGCCGCGCGCTCACGGAACAGAAGGAGCGAGCGAGACCGGAGCGAACCATTCGTGCTCAGGAGCGGGGGAGATCATTACCACAAAACACCCACACAACTGATAAACATTACACTAGTGAAGCTTAAGTGTATTTGTAATAAATAGTTAACAGTTTTTATATCTGTATACATATATACATAACACACAAAAGTGCGGTAGAAGAAGGCTTTTATTTCATGACATTTTACCACATGGTACATTCCTCACTGTTTCCCAGCGCGACTGCGTACATGACGCCATCAAAATGATGGGCCCATTTCTGAGGAAATACTGTATATGCTCCTTTTGTGGAAACAAGAGTGAAAGAACTGGGAAATTGTTGTTTTAATTCAAATTTTAACTATAATAGTATTCTTAACGACATATTTTATATAAACAAAAGTAAGTGTCGATTAATTCTGTACAATTTAATAATAATAATTATATCCACATAATCCAAAATGTTACCTAGCTAGATCTGAATGTTTTTATTGTTAAATTTGCACGATGTAAATAAATAAGGCTTTAAAAATGTCAGAACACACAAGACAATGGGATTCTTTTATTCACAAAAATCTTTCATATGATTTTACACATTCTTTGAATCGTCAACATTTGAAGTGGATCAAAAAATGTTGTCCTAAGACAAGAACGGGTATTGTTCAAAATTCATGTATAACTTTGATGAAAGATTTTGATCCTCTTCAAATGTTGAATACTGTGTGTGTGTGTATATATATATATATATATATATATATATATATATATATATATATATATATATATATATATATATATATATAAAACACCTTTGTGCAGAACATGAACAGCTGTTATAAAGGACACGTCTGATTTTGACACATTTTTGCGTAAAAAAGTCCCCATTTCGAGCTGCTTTGGTTTCTGAATCCCAGTGGTTTGTCAAGTACCTTAAAATTATACTATGAACCATATTAAACATATCAATTTGTATATTGTTCCCTTAAGACTCTTCCACTTTACATAGAAAACACAAGGAATTCTCATCCTTGGATGGTTGCATTTATAAGTCCTGTACTGTAGCTCGGCATCGATTAGCACCAGATGTCAACATTCAAAAACACTGACTCTCTCGGTGCATAAAGTAAGACATAAGTGGTTTTTAAAGTTATGTGTCCCTCCTCTAATCTGATGTTTATACTGAAGCATCTACTTCTTCCCGAGTTCTCTGGCTCTTTCAGTGGCGGCCTCGACGGCTCCCATCGCAGCGGCTCTGAATCCTGCTTTCTCCAGCGCGTGGATCCCGTGGATCGTGGTTCCTCCGGGCGTACACACCTCGGCCTTCAGCTCCGCCGGGAGCTTCCCGGTGTCACGCAGTAACACTCCAGCGCCCTGCAACACGACACACACTTCAGAGTTCAGTGCGTTCTGGAAGTCTGCATGTATCCACCTTATTCCCATGACGCTTTGCGTGAATTATGGGTGTAACTTCCGTTAAGCTGTGCACAATCAGTGAAAGGCTCGCTCTATGAACACAATACGTTAAAGTGTCACAATGAGATGACATTAATCGACTCACCCTTCAACCATCGAACATTAAAATAAAATTTTAAAGTTTAAAAGAATCAACAAGCTACTTTCAACAGACCAAATAACCCCATAAGCGCGAATCTTTGGTTAAATATCACTGTAGTAGTCTAATATATATCTGTATTGTGTAACAAGCCTTAATCAAAAATGTTCATTAACTTCAGCATTACGTGACACTTTATCAAAGTGATTTCTGTCATTTTGACAGATTATAAATTGCATTTACCTGTGAAAACAAACCTGGAAAGAGACGTGAGGATTTGAGGAGAATAACGAGAGATTCTTCCTGCATTCCAGTGAATTATTAATGGAATATCGTAAATTAAATTCGGGAGAACAGACTATAAATGTGCCGTATATGTTGTCCTTTTTCATACTTTTACAGCGGATTGCAAAGGGGAAAAAGGAAATCATCATGAGGAAAAGATACAGCGACTGAAAGAGCTCTTGCCGTAGATATTCTTAATATAACATGTCACGTTGAAATACCAAGTATAACGTTACTCTCATGATGTCTGAAAATAAATCATGAAGGAAAATTGACGGCTCATCCAGTGACGGATCAGCTTTATTTGTAGGGCAACCTTATGATTTGAAATGATTCGTTTCAGCCTTTTTGAATGGAAGTTCCCCAAACCGGAAGTGCCGCCCATAATTCAAAACACAGTAAAGTCGTCAGGAATAAGGTGGATAGTTTTTGTCTTCCTTTATGATACTGTATTTTATAGGAACCTTTAAAATAGCATAAAAGGGGCATTTTAAATCAAGATTACATTTACATGAGATGCACAAAGACATTAATGTCACGTTTTCTGAAAAAGGATATCAAAGTTTAAGCTTAAAACTCACTTCATTTTTTATACGTTTTCTTCAGGAAACGAGATTAATATCTTAAAGTCATTTTGCATCTCTAGAAAATGTATCCTGATTTAAGAATATTTAGATATTTGTACGGGAAAACGAGACAAAGATAGTAAGGAAATCACTTTTTGCAGTGCAGCTACCACAAAAAGTACTGTAAAGTCTTTATCAAACATTATTTCTTCTTAAACTTATGGGAAATAAAAGCATATCAACTGTCACGGTTATGAATCAACATTGAACTGAATCGAACTGAATTATGACGCTGTTGTCTTTTTACATCATATTTGATGTAGTTTGCATCATTGATTCTACTATTTTCCTGCTTATTATTACTGTGAAGCTGCTTTGAAAATCTGTATTATATAAAGCGCTTTAAAAATAAAGCGACTTTTCTAAAAAGGAATTAAGGCTAGTTCCTTCATGCAATTCTATTTATCTTTAATCACTAAAAAAAAAAAAAATCCAGTCTAGCTTGCCTTTAATCTAAACCTGGCATTGTATATTATGAATATTGGTTGGCTCAGTCACGAATTGTTCACTTTGGATAAAAGCTTCTGCTAAATGCATGTAAAATGTCAATAGCAACAATCACACAAATCTGGGTTTTACACTGTAGACGTATGGTATACATGTAATTGCAAAAAATAGCAAACGTTATATAATACATCTCATCATGAAATATTTCCCACCAGTATTGTCTGTGCGGCGATACGTCGAGCCAAAGCGCTCGGCATCCCCATCTTGACGGCACCCTCGGCCAGCGCCTCCGCAAACACGTACACCTGTGAGACGGAGCAAAGGTGAAGATTCATATTCATCTCAGAATATTCATATTCATATTCACAGACCGTCTGGTTTATATCAGAATAATCTGCAAGCTGGACTAGACGTTAATGAGACTGACTCCAAATCAGGTTTTTAAAAATCTTTTAGATGCCATGGGAATGAGAACGTTTATAAGACAGATATATTTTCATGCATAAAGACCCAATTTATAGAGTGAAAAATGTATTTGATGAATACGTGTAAAATATTACTAGAAATATATTTTATATTTCTATTATGTTACATTTTTTTTCTGCTCACTATAGTGCTGCATTACATTTCTTTCTTTAATTTAATTTATTTCAATCATTTATTTATTCAGTTTAATCTTAGTTTTATTTATTAATTAGTGTTTTAATAGAACTACACTATAATTGGACCATGTATAAATGACCCAATTAATACTGTTAAAAAAATGTTTTTTTTTTATAAAGATGTGTAAAATATTTAATTTCAATTGTTACATTATAAAAACATTTTTACCTAATAGTACTGTACCGTTTAAAAGTAATTATTTATTTAAAAAATATCTTTACTTTGCTTAATTTGATTTATTATTTATTTACATGTATGCATTTATTTGTTTGTTTAAATTATTTATTTAGTTTAATGTTATTTTTTACTTATTTAGTTAGTTAGTTGAATGCTATTTTATTTATCTATTTTACAGTTTTACTCTAAATTCTCTATCAAACCCAATTTATATTGTGACAATTTGATATTATAAATATACGAAAATATTATTTGGAAAATATTTCATTTCTATTATGTTTCATAATTAAAAAAAATTCTACCCAGAATAGTACTGTAGAGTTAGATTATTTATTAATTTATTTAAATGTATTTATTTATTTATTTTATCAGTTGATTTATTAATTATTTATTTTACAGTTTCACTCTAAATTCCCTAGCAAACCCAATTTATATTATGTTGGAAAATTAATGTTATAAATGTGTAAATATTATTTGGAAAATATGTAATACTTAATGTTTATTTTGTTCCTACTTACTATAGTACTGTTAGATTTTATGTTAATTAATTTATATTTAATGATTTATTTTAATTATAATAATAATAATAATTATTATTATTATTATAATTTTTTTCCCATTTTTTTTTTCAGTATTACTCCAAATGTTCCCCCAGACCCCAGTTTGAAAGCCCCTGCATACTTCAAGTAATGTGTGTGTAATTTACAGAAAAATCTGATTCATTTATAGGTAAGAAGCTGCTGCCACTCACAAACGCGACGCCGCTGCCACTCAAGCCCGTGTGGGCGTCAATCCAGGCCTCAGGCCCCGCCTCCACCAGTCCACACGGGCTGAGGAGTGTCTTCAGGAGTGTCTCCTCCTCTTCTCCAGCGCACGAGCCCGAGGCGAGGAGAAGCGCCCCTTCCAGGAGCACGCAGGGAAGATTGGGCATTACACGAATCACACGTGTCCCCGTCGGCAACATCTAGAGACAGTAGCCATGTTTCCATCCACTTGTCAATCGAATTATCTGAAGTTCGGTAAAAAACCTCATGCGAATAAAGCTGGTGAAAGTGTGTTTCCATCAAACGGCTTTAAAGCGGATAAAAACCTGTGCGTAATGACGTCACATGCTGTTTTGCGATCAAATTGGTATATCGAATTGATTTGAGACATGTTAAGGTGTTTCCATTCATTTTCTTACCGAATTGCACAACATTCAAGGCAACATTTGCGAACAAAGTTTTACCAGGCAAAATGGTTCGCACCATAATAACGTTTCCATCCGCGTTTATCGCATAAGCCGTATATCGATCAAGATAAAATCCGATGAGACCGATCGTATTTCATTTGAGTCGATATTCATGAAATTCAATCGAATTTTACTGTTTCCATAAGGCATTTTTCATTCGATATCACTTAATGCGGATAAAAACGTGTGGATGGAAACATAGCTACAGACAGCAATAATATCTGATGTTCTCAGAGGTTAGAAAAAAACAATAGTTCTACCATCATTTTGGTCACTAAGATTTAGATTTGGGTGATGATAAACTATGTAAATCTCAAGCGGCAACCTTCCGGTCTCTCTAGTGAATCCAACACTGAAGTGAGTTAAACTGCAGTTCATCGACTGGCCACTAGAGACCGGCTGCAGAAGAGAGTCAATCCCATAGAGCCCCATGTTAAAATGCCCAACTTTACAGCAGAATTAAACATGTTTACAGTCTGGAGCAAAAAGTGGTTTTGGTCTATATAGCTAATTTTGTCCTTCATGTTAACTATGAGGGGGGTGTTTTTATTTATAACTCATCCGTTTAAATTATATTAAGCCTTAAAGTTCTGCATAATTAAGGGCGTGGCCACTTGAGTGGCAGGTGGATTGCCGCTGATGTCACTACTAGCGTTTGTCACGTCACCTCAGCTAATCCGCCTCTTTGCCCATTTTCCATTATCCGGGAGTGACGCGCGGCCAAGATGGCGACGGCCGGCTCCGCCCACTTTGGGCTTCAAAAATGCTCTTCAGAAACACTATGGGTGACGTCACGGACACTACGCCCATATATTTTTACAGTCTATGGTAAATCCTCACCTCCTCAAGTGTTTCTAGAGTGACTCCGGCTGCCATGGAAACGATGATGTGTTCCTGAGTGACATTCCGGGAGATTCCATTTAGAACCTTTGGAACGAGGTGAGGTTTGACGGCCAGAAAGACCAACCGAGAGCGTTCGACAACCTCGTCATTCGAGTGAGTGACGGAAACGCCTCTCTCCTGTGAGAACATTGACACAAACCTGATCAAATAATTATCTTAGTTCAAGGTTGAAATATGACCATAACATTTATTGACATTTTTAAGTTACTGCATAATTAAAATGTTAATGATGTCACAGGTCTTACCTGAAAGCGAGGAAGGTTGTTAATGGATGGAGCGCTAATAATTATATTAGTGGGTGGGACCTTCCCTACAGCACAGAAAACAGGAGAACATGACAACAAAATCACAGAAATGCCACAATAAAACGCTAAAATCTCATTGCTTGAATTTGCTTTGTTGTTGTTTTTACATTCACTAAAATATATAAAAGTATCTAAATTATTTCTTTATTGTTTTGTTAATTTATTTTGCTATGCTGTTCATGCCATGTCATAATTTGTGTAATTTCGAGATGAAAACAACACGTGACCTGCAGCGGTCACGTGGTCTCCAAAGATTCCCAGAGCTCTACATTAAAGGGTCACTCCACCCATTTCAACATTAATCTTTATTGAAAGTGGGTTATATATGTAGTCGAAATGTAAAAGAAATTTTGAATTTGGTGCCCTCTTGACCGAGAAAAGACAGAAAATAACTTTAGGGCGCATTTGTATGTAAGACAACAACTCCCACAATGCACCACGTTGCACAGCTCCGCAAGCCACTCCCACTAATCCAGAACAGCACAAACATCAGAGAAATCACTTTTCCATCTACAAGAAGGCTAGCTGCTGAATGAGTTTGAAATTCATTTCACAAAAAATGTCTAGTTAGTTGGCTGTGGCGAGCAGGACGAGGGCGAGGGACGTGAGAGGACGACGCGAGTGATAATGAATGGCACCTGTGCAGCGGTCTCATATCTCTCACGGAGGAGCGGAAGCATAAAAGGAACAGGCCTGATTTTATGTTTTGTTTCTGTTGTGTGTGGCCAGCTGGCTTATACTTTTGTTTTGTATTTGTTTATTTTACTATTAAAATGTTTAAATGTTCGCCGGTTCCAGCCTCCTTCTTCCCACAACAACGAACCCCGTTACATTGGCAAACTCATTAGTGAATTACTCGTTTGTATTTCTTTCTATATGGTGAATTATTGCATGATACCTGCATGTTCAGTCAGGCGAAACTAGGATGGTTCACATCACAACACAAACGTCCGTGTGGTCGTCTGATTCAGAGATTTCGTCTAGGAGAAATTGCGATCGTTGAAATTCTCTGCAGCAGACGGACTCTATCTGTGTCCGTAGCGCACAGCGAGAGCACACGCACCAGCAGCCCGCCTCAGCTCGACCCAGTCCGGGCTCCTCGTCCGCGACAGGCAGCCGCCTCCTGATCCTCCATCAGCCTCAGCTGCTCTTCACTATATTGCGGCTCGTAAAGATAGCCACGAAGAGCGGATTCGAGCAGCAGAATTTCAAAATCCTCTACTTCCATATCATGTTTAGTTTCTTCCGTCATTGTCGTAACTTCCTATCTCCACAGCGCTTGTTAGCTTAGCTTATAAACAAGATGGCTGATATTGCTTTCAGTATCTGCAAGTGAAGTCCCACCCACTGATCTGTGATAGCTCTGTTAGCGCATTAGGCACAACCCCCTATGGGCGGGTTTGAAAGGGTGGGAATTTGTGCTTGTAGTATATACAGAAATCCCCCCTTTTTACACTTCCTCCTACAATGACGTCAAATGACGATTTTTGCGTCATTGTAGGAGGAAGTGAAAAAGGTAAATAGTAGATTTCTCTCGTCTCAGGGGAAAATGAAAGAATGTTGCACGACCATTCAATAGTATGACTGGTTGTCTAACAATGGACCTCTTAATGCAAATGGGTGGAGTGACCCTTTAAGGACTGAGCACTTTTTACAAGTTGAAATCGACATGGCGTGAACACACCTTTAATTTAATGTTATACAAAAACATTTTTATTTTGTTCACGCCACGAACCCTTATATTGACCCTTTTCACATTTTCGAGTCGTAACGTTAGTTGGGTAACGTTAAACTATAGAAGTGAATGAGAGACTACATTAAATGTATGTTTTTGTGTTCCCTTTTGCTCAAATAAACTCAAATTGCATAGCAAACGCAATAGTATTTTCACAACTTTAAAAAGAGTGGGAAAAAATAGAGAGAGATTGATAACGGCAGTGAGTCAGAAAAAGACGTCGATAACAGTCCCCCTCACAGCAGCGTTAACTGTTTTTTTTTATTAAATTTTTTATTCAAATGTAACATAATACAAAGTGTTATATACATACATTCATATATATATATATATACCGTTAAAACGCGTCACCAGTCTGTGAAATTTCGAAATGACAACAAGTGACGCTCTCTGACTGGGCTATCAGGGTTAGGGTCATATAGTTAGGGTGTTGATAAAATCTATGTTTTGTATTGTAAAAATATGTTTGTGCACTTGACAGGATCTTAAACTGCACCTGACGCGATGATGCCCTGCGCGATTCCAAACGCCATGTTCCCCGCTCCGATGAACCCGATCTTCAGCTGACACACATCCTGAACTCAAAACAAACACATTTCTCCACATGAATTAAGGTGTTATGTGTGCTGCTGTTGCCATATGTTCACCAGACAACATTCAGTCATGAGGTAAACAACTACTCACAGGCTGAATCCCAGGCGAATCACTGCTTTTGCCTGAACTATCGGAAAGATTCATTGTTCATTAAATGCAGCTTTAGCAGCTCCGTGTGAATCAGATCTGTGTTAGTTTAAATGGTAAACTCGTGTCATATGGAGAACATTTTCTTCTTTACTCACATATAAGAATCAACAGTAGATACACTGACACCTGCTGGACTGGATCAATGGATTTATAAACACATCACGCACACATCAGTCCACCCATGGTACAAACATAGACTGTAAAAAATGCATACAATACTATATTATTCACTGCAGTCTGGACACAATTTACGAAAAAACTTATAAGGGCTAAAATTAGTTTTTATTTAACTCACTACAGAACTAGCCTAGATCATCAATCCCAGTCTTCTATTTCTGTCATTGTAGTTTGATGATCACTTTGCTATTATTCTAAAATGTAGGAAAAAATATTCATTAAAAGAATAATTAAATAATAATATGTTTGGGGAAACTCAGTGATTCAGTCGCACATGGTAAGGGTCCCATAAAGACCATAGACTGTAAAAAAAATATAAAGACACTGATGTAGTGCCACCCGCTGGACTGAACTGGATTGTACACAGCCACACTAGTTAAAATTAAAATGACTACCACAAAAGTTATCCATGGAGTATATATATATATATATATATATATATATATATATATATATATATATATATATATATATATATATATATATATATATATATATATATATATATATATTAATGCTTAGAATTCATCCTGGAGCATCTGGACATGTAAACTAAAACCATCTATAAAAAGTTTACAATTATTTTTTTTAAATACACTATAGATCTTAAAATATATTTCTCAGTGTGGTTCTATATAGAATTCTAGGGTTCTTGACTAACATTTAAAGAATGCTTTATGCCAAAAAGGTTCTAAATAAGGAAAATGTTTTAAATGATTGCATAATATTTTCATGTTTAATAGGTTATTTCAATTTTTTTCTAGTAAAAAAGTATGTTTACAACCTGTTTGATAAATACAATTTAATTCAAATTAAAAAATGAATTAAAATAAGATCCATAACTGAATCCATGAAAAGATCCCATGTTGGAACCCTGAAAAGGTACTGTAGACATGAGGGCCATTCCACCGATTGGGTGCCATTTGCTTGTTGTAACTTCAAAATTAAACTTCAATTTTTTTTCCCCCACAATGAATCTAATAACATATTTATAAGCCATTTAAAAAGCACATTTAAAAGCATGTCAATTAATTCCTTTGTTTTCCCCTTAAGAAAGTGTTTATTTTAAAGAAATGGTTGGTTACATGTTCAAATTATAGATATTTGTGACAAAAAATCACTATATATGAAGTCAAGGTGTATTTCATATTAAAAAAAATTAAACTGGGTCACTGGGTAACGGGAATGAACACTGGGTAACAGGAATGAACACTGGGTAACGGGAATGAACACTGGGTAATGGGAATGAACACTGGGTAACAGGAATAAATACTTGATTACAGGAATGAACACTGGGTAACAGGAATTAACACTGGGTAATGGGAATGAACACTGGGTAACGGGAATGAACACTGGGTAACAGGAATGAACACTGGGTAACGGGAATGAACACTGGGTAATGGGAATGAACACTGGGTAACAGGAATAAATACTTGATTACAGGAATTAACACTGGTTAACAGGAATTAACACTGGGTAACGGGAATGAACACTGGGTAACGGGAATGAACACTGGGTAACAGGAATGAACACTGGGTAACGGGAATGAACACTGGGTAATGGGAATGAACACTGGGTAACAGGAATTAACACTGGGTAACAGGAATGAACACTGGGTAACGGGAATGAACACTGGGTAATGGGAATGCACACTGGGTAACAGGAATAAATACTTGATTACAGGAATTAACACTGGTTAACAGGAATTAACACTGGGTAACGGGAATGAACACTGGGTAACGGGAATGAACACTGGGTAACAGGAATGAACACTGGGTAACGGGAATGAACACTTGGTAACACACTGGGTAACAGGAATGAACACTGGGTAACGGGAATGAACACTGGGTAATGAGAATGAACACTGGGTAACGGGAATGAACATTGGGTAACAGGAATGAACACTGTGTAACAGGAATGAACACTGGGTAACAGGAATGAACACTGTGTAACAGGAATGAACACTGTGTAACAGGAATGAACACTGGGTAACAGGAATGAACACTGGGTAACAGGAATTAACACTGGGTAACGGGAATTAACACTGGGTAACAGGAATGAACACTTGGTAACACACTGGGTAACAGGAATGAACACTGTAACAGGAATGAACACTGGGTAACAGGAATTAACACTGTGTAACGGGAATGAACACTGGGTAACAGGAATGAACATTGGGTAACAGGAATGAACACTGGGTAACAGGAATTAACACTGTGTAACGGGAATGAACACTGGGTAACAGGAATGAACACTGGGTAACAGGAATGAACACTGGGTAACCAGTGTTGGGCAAGTTACTTTTAAAAAGTAATTAGGTACAGTTACTAGTTAATTCTTCCAAAAAGTAACTAAATTAGTTACTCAGTTACAAATTTTAAAAGTAACTAGTTACTTAAGAAAGTAACTATTGCGTTACTTTCAAGGAAAATTAAATTTTAAATGCTCAAATGTGACCCCACCTCTACCCCTCTTTAACGGAACTTAAAATACATGTGCATGTTCAATTATTTATGATAAATCTGAATATTATAATGAAATGGACACTTAATACAATACATTATTAACAGAAACATGAAACATTGTACACACATCAAAAAAAAATGTTGCTGTGGGACAAAGTGATGTCTATACTTCCATTTAGAGAAGGCTACTTTTGGATTATTTGGGCTCGTCGCCATACCTGTCTCTCGTTGACTGACTGGCTTGTGTTGTTCCTTGTGTGTCCTGTCCTGTCCTGTCCGACTATGCGTTATGATGGGTCGTTCGCAATTCATGAGCGTTAGCCGTTAGTGATGATGGGTCGTTCGCGAATGAGCGTTGTGATGGATGATCGACTCGTTCGCGAATGAGCTTTTGATGGCTCGTTCGCGATTCGCGAATGAGCCGACTCTAAGAGCCGGCTCTTTTAGGTGAACGTCAGGAGCTGGCTCGCATATCTGAAGAGCCGACTCTATTTTTTTTTTTTTTTTTTTTTTACAAATGTAGCCTATAGAAATTAAATAATTATGTAATAAAAATTGAAATATTATAGTCAAAGTCATTTTAAGAGCCGTTTGTGAGCCAAAAGAGCCGGCTCTTTTCAGTGAGCTTAGTCAAAAGAGCCGAATGCCCATCACTACTATGCGTGCTTTCGAACACCCGCCCAACTCTACCTCTGATTGGCTCACAATGACATTTTACTCTACCTCAGCCAATCGTCAGCATTTTTGCGCTTGCCTCGTGCTCTGCCCACTAACCAAGGAAGAACAGTAAAAAAAGTATTTGCCTCTCGCTCAGAGATCTAGTTAGTCTGATGAAAAAAACCCCAGCTTCATCAGTTATAGTAACGCGCCACATTTTTTGGCATTAATGGTCACGGCGTTATTAAGATGAGAAGAGTAATCAATTAGATTACTCGTTATTGGAAAAAATAATGCCGTTAGTAACGCCGTTATTTATAACGCCGTTATTCCCATCACTGTGGGTAACAGAAATGAACACTGGGTAACAGGAATGAACACTGGGTAACGGGAATGAACACTGTGTAACAGGAATAAACACTGGATAACAGGAATGAACACTGTGTAACAGGAATGAACACTGGGTAACGGGAATGAACACTAGGTAACAGGAATGAACACTGGGTGACGGGAATGAACACTGTGTAACAGGAATGAACACTGGGTAACAGGAATGAACACTGGGTAACGGGAATGAACACTGGGTAACAGGAATGAACACTGTGTAACAGGAATGAACACTGGGTAACGGGAATGAACACTGGATAACAGGAATGAACACTGTGTAACAGGAATGAACACTGGGTAACGGGAATGAACACTAGGTAACAGGAATGAAAACTGGGTGACGGGAATGAACACTGTGTAACAGGAATGAACACTGTGTAACAGGAATGAACACTGTGTAACAGGAATGAACACTAGGTAACAGGAATGAACACTCTGTAACAGGAATGAACACTGTGTAACAGGAATGAACACTGGGTAACAGGAATGAACACTGGGTAACGGGAATGAACACTGGGTAATGGGAATAAACACTGTGTAACAGGAATGAACACTGTGTAACAGGAATGAACACTGGATAACAGGAATGAACACTGTGTAACAGGAATGAACACTGGGTAACGGGAATGGACACTGGGTAACGGGAATGAACACTGTGTAACAGGAATGAACACTGGGTAACACACTGGGTAACAGGAATGAACACTGGGTAACGGGAATGGACACTGGGTAACGGGAATGAACACTGTGTAACAGGAATGACCACTGGATAACAGGAATGAACACTGTGTAACAGGAATGAACACTGGGTAACGGGAATGAACACTAGGTAATGGGAATGAACACTGGGTAATGGGAATGAACACTGTGTAACAGGAATGAACACTGTGTAACAGGAATGAACACTGGGTAACAGGAATGAACACTGGGTAACAGGAATGAACACTGGGTAACAGGAATGAACACTGGGTAACAGGAATAAACACTTGGTTACAGGAATGTTCTAACATATACTGGTGCTACTTGGACACGTCATCAGTGAAGAACCCGGGGTCAACAGGTGTTTCAGGTCATTAATCAACAGACACCCTCGCCCCGGCGACCCTGCCGGGGGTGATCAGTCCCCGGTCTGTGTCCAAGTGGCGTGCTTCTCCATATACATATGGAGCAGCTACTCCACGGATCCGCTCTCCGGATCTAACAGTCATCGTGAGGCTTTTTCAGCAGCCTCAGAGATGTTCTTTACGGCTCGTCTGCACAGTTGTCCTTTGTCCTTTGAGTGTTCGGAGCAACGACTGTCCAGCAAAGCCCCGGCAACCGACCTCCACTGGCTCACTACGTGCTATCCAGCCGCCGCCCCTGCACTCCTCCAC